TGGTGAATGTTGAAGAAATAAATGAATGTAACAAATTTTGGAATAGGGCTGTAGGATGGATGGATGGATGTACGCCAAACAGACTTACAGATAAAAAGATAGATGGATGGATGGATGGATAGATAGATAGATAGATAGATAGATAGATAGATAGATAGATAGATAGATAGATAGATAGATAGATAGATAGATAGATAGATAGATAGATAGATAGATAGATAGATAGATAGATAGATAGATAGATAGATAGATAGATAGATAGATAGATAGATAGATGGATAGATAGATCTTACATATTATTTTAGTCAGAAAAAAAGGGTGTAATATGACAGGAACTTGAACCGCCGTCGTGTGTTCTCCTGTGTGGTCATCTGAGACTAATGATTGCTGTTTTTCCGCCGTGGAGGAATAATCACTTAAATATGGACGTCAAGAGGAACTTTTAAGAGGCCACAAACCCTGAGGGCAGAAAGTTTCTCTGGAGTTCCCTCATGATATGCGTCCAACTATTTCATCTCCTTATGTGCAAATGATTGACAGTTTAGCTGTTCATTGTTTTTGACAGTAACTGTTTACCCTTTTGAATCTTATTTCTATGTTCTGAAGTTTCTGATAAATAAGCTGGGTTTCATCATTTTCATCAGTTTGATCATTCTGTTTTTTTATTTTTTATTTTTTATGCCTGTCCCCCTCTCAGCCCCTCTTTCCTCTCTCTCTACCTATTGGAAGTCATTAGTGGTCTGACCCACTTCTCTCAGGCTGGCATGGCTAATTGGACCTTAATCACTTCCTAATTGCTGCTTTGTTTCTTTGCCGCTCATTAAATGCTAGACTGAATGGGATGGGAACTGTGCTTTTGTCCATATCAGATAGAGGAGTAAGATATACAGATTTTTAAAAAATTAAACAAATAAATGAAATTGAGTTTAATATTTTGTTTTTGTAGCAAATTGGCAAGCAACAACTTAACTTAAAGCTACAGTTCATAATCACAGAATTTAATAAAGGAAACTCAGAGGTTTGTAACTACATTAGGATGAGTACATTTTCATTTTTAGGGTGGTAAACTATCTATTTAAAGGCACAGTTCACCCAAAAAATTAAAATTATGATAATTTACTAATCCTCAATAGTTTCAAAGCATTATGCGTTTATTTTTTATTCTAGTCAGCACACAGGCTAATAAACATGTTTTGAATAAATTTGGAAAGTGGTAGATATTGACATCCACAGTAGGAAAAACAAATACTAATGGCTACTAGTTTCCAACATTCTTCAAAACATCTCTTTTTGTTGTTTAGAATAGAAGGAAGAATCTTATGGTGGAAAAGTGGAAAAGCTTAGGTGAATAATGAGATGAATTGTCCCTTCAAGTGCTTTCCAAATGTTGCAAGTTATTTCAAGTTAAGTAGTATTTAAAGTGGTTTAAATTAATTCTGATCATAATAAACAATACACAATGTCTCTGCAAGACATTCATTGGAGTACATCTTAAGTTTTTACTGCTCTTCTCTTTAATGTGTGACAATAGAACATGCGCAGCTTTTTATTTATTTATGTTTGGTTTGGTTTATACTTTTGGTTTTGGGGCATCAGCCGACTGATGGAGCGAGTGTTTTCAGTGTAATAGAGAGAGATATTTTAGAAAACTTTGTTGCCTTAACATTTATAATACTTAACAATTTATCCAATTATTGGATATTATGCTATTACCGAACTTTAAAAGGTTATTTTCAATTTTGCATAATACTTCGTCATTTCAAAATCTAGTAAATTTTACTTATTAAAATTAAAATCGCAACTAATTCCTGTTTTTACCAACCTTTTATAAACATTGACTGCACTTATTATCCAATTCTAGACATTTTTGCCTGCACAAGAATGGAATTCAGCAAATGTCATCTACTGTTTTATACACCTTAAAAATGTAAACAAATACAGGCTTGCTGAAACTTTCATTAAAATGAAAACATCTCTTTCAACACTCCAAGCAATAGATTCAACCTTGCACAATATAAAAAAACTTTTAAAAAAAAAGTTTCCCTCCAACCACAAAATATACAACTATTTTTTTTACTTGCAGATTTAAGATGGAAATAAAAGTATTAACTGCAATAGTGCCATGCAAGATCTTCCAACTGCAAATCTCTATTATATTTTGTCAATGGAGTGAGAGAGAGAGAGAGAGAGAGAGAGAGAGAGAGAGAGAGAGAGAGAGAGAGAGAGAGAGAGAGAGATCATGTGCAGGAACTCTTCAGTGTTGGAGTTTTATTTGCAGTGAACTGGACTACTGAGACGCTTCATGCTGGACTTACTGTGAAACCAACACACTTTATCAAATGGACCTGCCAGGTGAAGGAATTCTATTGGGTTCAATAGGGTTTTTTTTTGCCCTTATGATTGTAAAAACACTTTTGGACTATTTTTCTTTTGGGAGAGATATCGAAGTCATTCTGTAAGGTTTGTCTTATTTTGCTGTGGGATGTTAAAGACCATGTTTGTTTTTGTGTTGTAGAAATACATCTGTTGTTTGTTTTATCAGTTAAAGGAGTAGTTCATCCAAAAAAGAAAATATAATAACTACAGTATTTATTCTTTTTTAGTATCTTTAGGTTACAACTCTAATAATGCACATTTTGTTTTCACACAGTCTCTTAATTATGTTTAAAAACTGTAAAAAAAAAAAAAAAAAAAAAAAAAGAAAAATGTAAATTGTTCATTTTGTTCATAAATATTCTTTTGGTGAACAATAAATCTGGATGTTAACCCAGCAAAAACAAAAAATGTTTTGGTAGTCTTCAACCAAAATCTGATCATTTGCATCTGAATTTGGAGTGACACAATATTCTTATCCACACCCATCTTACCGTTAGTTTGCTATGAGAGAATGATGACATTGGTACATTGGAAGTACATCAACATACTGAAATAAAAGTCTCACAGACTTTAACATGATTTCCTTTTTTGGTCTAAAAATATAAAATAAAACCAGAGAGAACTGACACGTGTAGAATGTGTCTTAAAATGTCTATTTTTGTTTCTATTGTTTGTGCACAATAGCTAAACTTGTCCTCCAGTGTTTGAATGAGTTTTGCAGTCTTACTCTCTGTGTTAGAGTAAACAGTTTAGAGTGTGTCTCAGTCGGCCATCTGCTGCTCACTATTAGAATAACATTAGCTCTTGGGTCACTAGCCTTTTATGGCCAGGGAGAGGTGTTTCAATAGTCATCTCAGGTTAAACTTTCAAGCTTTTTTCCTCCTGCATGTCTTACTTGGCATTAGATTTATTATTCTGCTTATACGTTTTGTTCTTTAAATCTACTAATTAACCAAAATCACTGTTGTTGTTTTGGTAGGGATGATGTATGCATCAGCACTAAAATTCTTTTTTGTGTCATATTTTGTATCCTAATCATTTATTATGTATCACATTTTGTATCTTTTTTATGCCATGCTGAAATCGGATCAGATTATTCAGTCTGTTTGCAACAATGAGATTACATTTTTTTTTTCAAAATGTGGTATGGATAGGGACCGTTTCAGCATGTTCCAGCAAATAATAATAACAACAGATACAATAATAATAATAAGAAGAAGAAGAAGAAGAAGAAGAAGAAGAAAATGAAAAGTTGCCAAATTTTAAAAGTCAAAAGTATATAAAAACATTACTTCACAACAGTAAACGTTTCCAATTTGATTGGTATTAAAATTAATTGTATGCTATATATATTGGATTTGGATTTTGTTTAAATATGGCACAGAAATATAATTGATTTGACTTGGATTTGTTATAATATGTAAAAGTCAGATTTCTTGTGTATTTTCCTGTTAACTTATTTTCAAACATTTTTGGCTATTGAAAGAATGCTGAAAGACAATAAAATATAAATATTATGTGATAAATGTAAATCTGAAGTATTGCCTTGGCAACTAAATGAAGAAAGTGTAAGTTCTAAAATGGGTAAAGTTTAAATAAAAGTAAATAAGTAAATCGATGCTAAACAGAAATTTGACAAGGAAAACTAAATTTGAAGTTATTTCTGGAAATAAAAATCAATTAATATATGAATAAATATACTTTAATATTAAATAAACTATACTAAAATTACACTGAACGACAAATACAAATTTTGATATTTGTTAAAAAAAATTATGTTCATTCAATTAAGTGACACATCTGAATGTTTTGTGATGTAAAATTCAAGGTTTCATGTGTATTTTCTTGTTAGCCACAAACATCCATCAGACTCAGAAATAAAGATACAAAATCACTGGGACTGAACCTCAGAATCTTTATTGTCATTGTACAAAATACAGCCAAATTTGCGTTTGCCCCTCCCTTCAGTGCAGTACTATTTATCTAAAACAACAACAATAATAACATGAGATAAAAAGGTAAAATGGCAACAATAATAAATTATAAAAGGATTAACAATACAATACTGAAAGTGTGTATGATGTGCATATAAAGTGGCAAGTGCATTTTATAGCAGCTATTAATTTTTAAAGTGAATAAAGTGTGGGCCAGGAAGGCATACAATTAGATGTCCATGCGTATAAAGTTGCAAGTGCATTTCCTAGCAGCAAGTTAAAAAGTGAGTAAGATTAAAAAGATTTTGGCCAGAGACACTCTCAATTTAATGTCCATACATTATTGCAACAGCCCTTGGATATGTAAAATTTTTTAGTAACCTTTTCAAAAGGTACACTTTTGAACCTTACAGGTAGACATTAGTACATTTAGGGAACACTTTTGTACCTTTAAGGCTCACTTTTGTACTTTTAAGATACTATAGGGTACACATTTGTACATTCTAGGCATTACTAGGTACATTCTTAGTACCTTTAAGAACCTGTTAGGAACAATTGTAACTTTTAAAAAGTTATCAGATTTTGTACCTTTATTTCTCACAGTGATTATTTAACAAGTACATCCGTTCTTTAGCTTTTTCTCTTTCTCTCTGATTCTCACCTTTACCTCTTGTTTGGTTTCCTCTCCAGAATCATCAGAGAGTGTGACTGATCCCGCTCTGTCATCCGCTTGCACCTCTTTAAGCACCAGCACTGTGGCATCTTCTTCATCATCATCAGCCATCCCTCAGCCCAACTCGAGTAGCAAACCCTGGAGAATTAAATCCCAGAACAGCAAGCACACCTCCGCTACCTCCACCGGGCTTTCCACTAAGTCGGATCTCCAAGCCAAGCAGCCCGTACCTGCAGAAGCACCACCCAAAGCTGTGCCTCAGAAATCCATGCTGGAGAAACTCAAGCTTTTTAATAGCAAAGGAGGATCCAAATCATCCACGCAGACAGAGGGCGCTGTTACGCCCACTGGAGGGAAGGATGCCGCTTTGGTTTTGGAGAGAGTTGAGACCGGTTCCAATACTGAACCTATTGAGGAAATGGATGGGAACGTGAGGCCCACGAATGGGGCTGTTAGCGTGACAACAAGCAGCCCAAAAATTGCGCTAAAAGGCATCGCACAGCGGACGTTTAGTCGTGCTCTTACAGCGAAAAAAGCATCAGCGAAATCTTCAGAGAAAGAAAAGGGCAAAGACAAAAATGCATCCAAGCGAGGCTCTCCTTCAGAAAAGGTAGAGGAGGTCAAGGAAGAAGTGGTTTCTTCAAGCGTTGTTACTGCTCCCTCTGAACCAGAGCCCAGAAAAGCCTCCAAAATCGCCAGTTTTATACCTAAAGGTGGCAAAGTGGGCGGAGCCAAGAAAGATGGCCCCGCCCCTGTCCAGAGCGGAATTCCAAAACCAGGGAGTAAAAGTGCTGGAAATGGAGCAGTGAAAGGCTCTGCGCTGCCCCTCGGTGGTAAAGACAATGAGAGGCCGCGGAGCGTGCGTTTAGGGGCAGGTTTGGGGCTTCATCGGGACAGTCGCCATTCCTCTTCCTCTTCCAGCCTGGCTTCCACTGAGGGTAAAGGACACCCCATGCACAGCGCCGCCCCGGTGGCCAACGGGACTCAATCCACCGCCAGCAACACAGTCAGTGTGCAGCTTCCTCAACCACAGCAGCAGTACAACCATCCCAACACAGCCACCGTAGCACCTTTCATGTACCGGTATGATGCTTGATTGGATTGTTTTGATTTGGATGTTGATACATTGTTATAAATTTAGACTGATGGAGAGGGTTAAGCCAAATCAAAAGTGGATTATTTCAATTGGACCAGACTAGAAATAAGTCAGATTCCTTAAATATAAGTATTTTCATTGTAATTAGTTCAGTTATTCAAATTAACAGTGACACTTTTGTTTAAATAACAAGTCACACCATTCACTACTGGCTTATTACTTGCCTTTTATTAAGATAATAACTGTTTATTAGCACTTATACAATATGATCTTATTTTAAATCTTTAATCCTACCCAATACCCAAACTACCACCATACTAACTATCATTAAGCGGGTAATTAGGAGTTTATTGAGCTAAAAGTCTTAGTTAATGGTTTGCTAATAGCACAAATTGTACATTAAATTAAAGTGTGACCAAATTACCCAATAAAACATTTCAAAACATGAATAAATATTGTACAATTACTAAAACTTAAACAAAATAAAAAGTAAATACAAAGTAAATAAATAATAATTATAAATGTAGAAAATTATAATGACAAAAAATTTTAATTAAAAAAAAGAAAAATAACAGCTCAATTAAATAACTATTTGATACAGTATAATTCAATTCAGTTCAATTCAATTCAAATGAAAGCTAATTACTAAAACTAAGGTTGTTAAATAGAATTGTTTGAATTTATTTAAATACATCGTTTAAATAAATATTACTACTATGATTAAAACTAAACCCAATAATATTGTTTAATCAGTATTATCAAATGGAAAACTAAAAGATTTTGAATAATGAAAGTACTATAGTATTTAAAATAAAATAAAAACAACACTGGATTGCTCAAACTTATTTCTTAAGATATTTCTAAAATGTTAGAAACATTGGATTGTTTTCTAATATTCATGGGTTGTGTGATTTTTGCTTTAAATTAAATAGAAAATTAATTGTTTTAATTTCAGATACTATGCCTAAACTTTAGAACTAAAACTAAACTACTGTAAACAAATAACTGTAAATAACTGTAATGAAAATGACATTAAAAAGGCAAATGCTATCTTTAGACATTGAAAAAGCTCACTGTAAAACATTACTGTATAATTTACAGAAATTTACTGGCACCTAAAACTACTGTAAACAAATACTAGTAAATAACTACAATGAGAATGACATTAAAAGGCAAATGCTATCATTAGATTTGAAAAAGCACACTGTAAAAACATCACTGTATAATTTACTGTAACTTACTGGCACCTAAAATTTAAAAGCACACATGTAAATGTAAATAAATAATTACAATTATTCTGTAATTCTATAAATGACAATTATAACTTTTAATTTACCAAAATAGCCAATAAATTATTGTAAATTTTACATTTTAAAAAATACTTTAAAAACATTTGAATTAATAAAAGCTTTCACAACAGACCTGTAGGTTAAAAACACACAGAACACCTTGAGTTGTTATTTTTGTACTTTTAAAAAAGGAAAATGAGTGCAGAAGTTAGTTTACTAGAGTGCAGAAGTTAGTTTATTAGAGTGCAGAAGTTAGCTAGTTAGTTCATTGAATTGGAGTTTAATGCTGTTGGATAGACGGATAAAGGTTTGTGACAAAACAGATGTGTAAGAAGTTTATTTGCATTCTGTAGTTAAGCGACAGATTGTTAAACTAGTTATAGCAACATATAGCAGCATGTTCATGCATGCTCATAGATGTGTGTGACTCCCCGTCAGGCTCAGCTGTGAAGCGTTTGACTGGTATTTCCTCTAAAACAGACTCTTCAGCCTGTGTTTGTTTTCTATAAAGGATTCCTCTTGTCAGGCCTTGACTTCTGCTGACTAGAATGTCATAGAAAAAGGATGTGAATGTCATTATTTTAACTTATCTTTTTTTAGGACTCAGAATGAGGCAGATGGAAATATGGGCACAAACCTGAGCTCTGGATGTCGCAGCAGTGACTCTGGCAGCTTCAGTAAAACCAACCAGTCTTCTACCGAGGATCTGTCAGGTAACACCTTCATTCATTTCTCATTCAGCATCAATCTGGTTGAAGTAATTGTTCATCTGATAGTTCTGATGTTTTGTCCATCAATAAATTAAGGTTTATAGAATTGTAAATACATTTTTTAATGAAATCTCTTATCCCAGACTGCATTTATGTGATTCAAAATTGAAAATACAGTAAAACAGTAATAATCTGAACTAGTATTACTGAATATTTTACAAATTGATGTTTTATATTTATACACTTCATATTCACACTTTACAATAAGGATTAATGTTAAAGTATTGACATACTTTTTTAATTACTTATTTATTTTATTTATTTATTTATAAATATGAATAAAAATGGAGAGAAAAAAAAAAAATATATATATATATATATATTAATAAAAAAAAAAAAATATATATATATATATATATATATATATATATATATATATATATGTATATATATATATATATATATATATATATGAAATATTACAATGTGATATTAAATGTGAACAACTTATTTTCAGGTGAAGATCCAGAGACCAGGCGCCTGAGGACTGTCAAAAACATCGCTGACCTGCGGCAGAATCTAGAAGAAACCATGTCCAGTTTACGGGGGACACAAATCACTCACAGGTAGACATTTTCTGGTCTGAGGAACTACAGTATATGCTGTAGCCATCATAAGAAGCACATCCAGTGGCTAATATTGGCTTCTCACTATAGCTTTTTCTTTTCTGTTACACTTTGAACACTTAATGTTGCGTTGTGGACAAGAAACATGTCATCAAGTGTCATGTGTGATCTAAAAAAAGTAAAAACAAACCTCATAATGCGGGAGTTCTGTTAAAATAGCATAAAAAGGTGAAGACGGCTCTTTAGTGTACTTAAAGGAAATGCAAATTTACTCACTACTTACTCACCCTGACGTGGTTACAAACCAATATGGGTTTCTTTTTTTTGTTGAACACAAAAGAAGATATTTTGAAAAAAAAAGCTGGATCCACTATGGAAGTCAATAGTTACAGGCTTCCAACATTCTCCAAAATATCTTCTTTAAAAAAAAAAAAAAACAAGGTTTGAAATATGAGTAAATGATAACATAATTGTCATTTTTTGGGTAAACTATCCCTTTAAACTGGCAAAGAAACAAGCCACTATAAATAATACATTTTTTTCCTTGCGTTTTATTCAATAACAAGACAATAGACAATAACAGGAATATAGACAATAACAGGCACCAATCCTTCCTCAGCTTTAACCTTTTTACTGTCAGTTTCCTAAATAAATTATAAAATGACTCTATTGGCTCCTTAATGCTCTGTCCACCTTAGTTTATTCTTAAAACCTTATTTCTTCCTCATTTTGATCTTTTGTCTAATTGACCAGGACTGTGTTCTGCAGTAGTTGTAAAAAGTCCATTTTAGGGTAAAATGAGAGAAGCAGGACATATTTCTTTCCTGAGGTGTTGAGATATTTGGTACAGTTACTCATTTCTATGAATAAAAGCAGTATTAACAGTTGAAATTAAATGCTGTTTGGTAAAAAAATACCATAGTAGTTTTCAGAACAATACTATATTATAAAAGACTATGATGTTGGCAAATATGGATTTGCTGTAGCGACAGTACCACTGTAATGAATATAAATCATGCCTATAGTAGGTTTGAAGAAAATATAGTTATCATGGTACATTTTTGTTTTTTTAGAAGGACATTTTTGTTCGCATTTATCTTTTAAATGTTTCACTTAACACTACAGAAAACATTGTAAAACATATTTTTGCTGCTCAATATTTTTGTGGAACACAAAAAAAGGGCAAAGCTTGAGATAGAAACAAAAGATGATACTTTTATTCTGCTTGGGTGCATTAAATTGACAAAAAAATAAATAAACATTACAGACATTTAGATACAAGTACCCATATTTAAGTTCCCTACTTCCCTTAAAGTGACAAAAAAAACAAGAAAGTACATACTATTTATACAAGTTTCAAAACGTGTTATCTAGAATCACAAGTTTAATCAAGTTCTCTAGGTGGACAGTGGTCAATAATGGGGAACAAATGGCAATAACTTTCTCTCTGATCAGATACACGCTCTCAAACAAATACTAGCAATCAAACGAACAATGCAGAATGATATGATGATGACCATAGCTAACGATTTGTAATAAGTAACAGCGATGACATAAAGTGGCATCGAAGGGAAGTTGTGGAGGACCCTTATAGAAGCAGTCATGCTGCCAGACCAATTGCCATGTGATAATCACAAGCCACACCCACCAAGAATGAAAGAAACCAAACAAAACAAAAAATACCACAGACATCGAAATGTTCCCAAAAAACCAACAGGTCATAACAGCACACAAAATTAGCTTATGTTTTGCACTTCTTCGCCTATATAAATATTGCATATATGCATTGCATATATGTGCAGCCCTAATTAAAAAAAAATTTCTCTCTCTGTCAGTACACTACAAACCACTTTTAATGGTGGCTTGAGCTGGTATATGAATATTGCATATACTAATATTGCGATTTAACGATATCTATTTTACTCTATTGTGCCGCCCTAAATTTAACTTTTAGTTTCTTGCATATACTATTATTACGATTAATGCTATTTTTTTAATATAGTGTGCAGCTCAAATTTTTTTTTCTGTCAGTACACTGGAAACCACTTTTGATGGTAATGTAAGCTGCAAAATGAATATTGCTTATACTAATATTGCGATTAACAATATTTGTTTACTATATCATGCAGCACTAATTTAAAATTTTTGTTTTCTTGCTTATACTAATATTGCGATTAGCGATATCTTTTTCGATATATTGTGCAGCCCTATTTTAAATCTTTGTTTTCTCTGTCAGTATACTTGAAACTACTTTTAATGGTGGCGTGAGCTGCGAATATTGGATATTGGTTGAATATTGGATATACTAATATCGTGATTAACAATATTTTTTCACTATATTCTGCAGCTATAATCTTAAATCTTTTTTTTTCTTTAATATCTATCAGTATAGTGGAAACCACTTTTGATGGTTATGTGTACTGCGATATACATATACTAATATCACGATTCATTATATTCTTTCAGCATATTGTGCAGCCCTAATTTTAAAGCTTTCTTTTCTTGTATACTATTTTAATAAACTATATTTTTTTATATATATTGTGCAGCCCTAATTAATTTTTTTTTGTCAGTACACTAAAAGCCACTTTTGATTGCGGCATGAGCTGCAATATGAATATTGGATATAATATTATCGCGATTAACAATATTTTTTCACTTTTTTGTGCAGCCCTAATTTTAAATATGTCAGTACACTGGAAACCACTTTTGATGGTTGCGTGAGCTGCGATATGATTTTTGGATATACTATTATCATGATTGACTACATTTTTTCGATATGTTGTGCAGCCCTAATTTTAAATCATTTTTTTTCTCTCTATCAGTACACTGGAAACCACTTTTGATGGTGGCGTGACTACCGAAATGAGCAGTCGCAACATCCTCAGCATGGCGTCTCGACCTTCGCCTCTGTCCTGGGCCAGTCGTATGGGTCAGTCCAGCCCCCGTCTGCAAGCAGGAGATGCTCCCTCTGTTGGTAATGGGTATCAGTCCCGCAGCGGGGGGGTTGCACCCGGCCAGGGCCGCTATCTGTATCAGGCTCCCCTACGGAAGCAGCTGGCAGCACGCGGCAGTGGTCTCTGTGGTCTGGAGCTGGGGGATCGAGTGGAGGATCTGGAGCTGGCAGGAGTGGGTCTGGAAATGAGTGGATATATGAGTGATGGAGATGTGCTCTCTAAAAACGCCCGCACTGATGAGCTGAGCAGCGGGTGAGTGAGAAAAAGGATTGTCTTAGGTTAAAGGGTCCTGTTAATTTTTTTTTTTTTTTTACTTTTGAGCATTGTTTGTACTTAAAGGTCCCATAAAATTAAAATAATTTTTTTAGATGTTAGAATTAGTCTGTTAGTTTTAAGGAACTTGCGTTTAGAAGATATAAAATTCATATAAACATCCAAAGCTTGCAGTTTGTCACTTCTGCATAAATCAATCAACATTTTTTTTCACCGCAGTTTCTCAATAAATCTCTTGACCAATTGAGTGCTCTCTAGTATCTGACATGCCCCGCCCACTTCAAGACGCTTCTCATGTGCATTTTATTTGCACTTGAGCTCAGCCACTCTCACAGGCAGAGCTGTGATCAAAACAAAACACTATTGGATGCTTTTTTAAAAGGGGAGGAGCTACTCTGTTCCACCCTCTTTTCATTTTTAATTTGACATTACGTCAGGCATCAAATATCAAAAATGCATATTTCAAAGCACTTTTCAGGGACTTTAAAGAAACCCACAAAAATAAATTCTAATACACCTGATGTCTTGTGAAAACGGTTATAATATGAAGTATTTAACTCAGATGGACAGTGGATTTTTGCAATGGCTGGTAAGTATGTTTTGCGGTTAAAAAAGGTATGATGGTGTTAATATAAATTTGTAGAACAAACTAAACAAAATGTCCTCTCATCATGTTACATGTAATTTTTTGTATAAATTTAGCTGTATTAAAATAAACTGTATAAATAAATAGTAAAGGACTAGTATATGATTACATCACAAACATGCTAGTTAGCTCATGATATCATCTAGATTTTTATAGACTTTTCAAGTAAAAAGAAAAAAAACAGGCTTAAGCAACATTTTTAATGAAGTGGTTTCGGCAACACTGTTTGTATTGAGTTTGAAACAGAAGATATACACAGGGCAATTTTTTGAGCAATGTTTCCAGGCAGTTTTGCAAAGCCATGTTGCTTTGGGCAATACTATTGCATCTGTAACCCATTGTACTAATTAGTTAACCCCTGTCTCACCCGGTTGCCTACTTATAGCAATTTCCCAAAGTTGTCCAGAAACACTGCTCAAAAAGTTGCCCTGTGTATTATCAGCATGAGGGTTGTAGCCACTAGAGGGCGGTGTGGTTCTTTAAATATGAACTCATATCTAATAGTGTTTTTGTTAGGATTCTGAATCAGTGTGTGGCTTTTAATGTCTAAAATGAACCTTTTCTCTATTAATTACATTATTATATATTTTATAATTTTTTTTACATTTATGAAGCAATATTCTATGATTTAATTTTTAAACAAGTTGGATCAACAGAGTTTTGCATTTAGGAAAATATAGACCTTAAGTAAAGGATTTTTTTACCATTGTTAAAAATGGACATGCTGCATAATATTTCAGTTGTTTATATATTTTTTACATTTATTTTTGTTTTTATTTTTATTTTTTGTAGCAAACTTTTTATTTCTTTTGCTGCTTTTTCATCTTAGCTCATGGTAGAAAAAGAGTTGGGACTGTGTTTAGTATTGTTTTGGATCCAGCCAATTAAATTTTCACAGATGTGTGTTAGATACAATCTTCAGTGACTCAGATGAGCACATTAAATGCAATGAATACTTTCACCTTGCAGCTCTGGCCCTTTGGGCAGGAATACAAGTGTATTTTGTGCATTTGCCTTCTTTGTACTGACTGTACAGATTGAAGGGTCGATTTAACACCCTCTTCATGCTCAAACAAGCTCTCTGCATACCTTGGCTGTGCTAATGTGCAATTTAAACTTCTTGTGTTATTATTTCTCTGCAATCCCATGTCTTCCTGTGTGGCATGAGCTCTACAAACTGTTCTACTGCTTCGAACATTAGCAGATTATAGAGAACAGGTCAGGTGACACGCTGCAATCACACCTGGCCAAGAGCCTGACATCTGAAGGCAAAATATCACTTGATATACACTGAAAAAAAAGATTCATTGGATTTACTCAATTTATATTTTTTTGTTTGTTTAAATTTAGCCCATATTAATTGTTTGCAACCACTTACCTTAAATAAATGTAGAAAATCCAATGAATCTTTTTTCAGTGAAGATTTGAAATGCCCAACAAAATCTGAATGTAGTCACTATTCAATTGTCAATTGTAGTGCATTTGATATAGTTTCTGCAGACATTTATATCAGTATGATGATGTGTTTGCAACTGTAAGCTGGGTTTTATTTTTGCGCTTTTCCTCACGTTTCACACGTAGCAAACATAGGGGCCAATTACATGACAACGTTTTCAGCTTTACACAGGAGACTTTGTATATGTTTTGCCTGTTTTGTTTTTACATAACAATGCCGTTTTTTATCACAATGTATTTAACCCTTAATAAAACAAAGACATGTATTTGATGGATGTTCAATATAATGTTTATACTTCAACAAACTAAATCACACAGCTATTTGTTGGGGTTGATTTGCACAAATGTCTAACCAGTGCCACACCATTTAGTTGCACTTTGAATCGTAAATAATATTTTAAATATTTAGCAAACAGGCACTTCAATCATTTTTATCAAGGGAGGATTATATGGCAATATGTAATATGTATTGTTAATATATTATAATAAGTAATATTAATATTATAATATTATAAAAAGTATCTGAATTGTTTGAACTCGAATTATAGGGTCATCATAACTACATTCTAATAAACGTTATCCAGCAATAAATGATTTGGCAAAGCAAGTGACAAATTCAATATTGTCAGCTCCAGCTGTGATATTATTTTAAAATATTGCTGTTGCTGTTTATATTTTATTATGTATTGTAATTGTAATTGTTTTATTTGATCTTTTTTGTTGAGCAAAAACTTTGGGCTGTGAAAAAGTGCCTCATAAATAAAATGTTATTATTATTATTATTATTATTATTATTATTATTATTATTATTATTATTATTATTATTGTTGTTGTTGTTGTTGTTGTTGTTGTTGTTGTTGTTTATGATGACAATAACAATAATAATGTATTATTATTATTATTTATTATTATTATTTTTATAAATATTAGTGTTGTTATAAATGATGACGATGACAATAATATTTTATTATTATTATTGTCATTATTTGTTTATAATAACAATAAAAATTGTTTTATTATTAATAATAATGATTATTATTATTAGGTAAGGCAAAGCAAGGCAAGTTTATTTATATAGCACATTTCATACACAGTGGTAATTCAAAGTGCTTTACATTAACAGGAATAAAAGAGAAAATTATTAATATAGATTGAAATGTGTTAAAACAGCTTTAAAAGAATGCAAAAGAAAAGAAAAACATAATAGTGCGATCTGTCGGATGTAGCACAGTGCTCATTCAGTAAAGGCACAGCTAAACAGATGTGTTTTCAGTCTTGATTTGAATGTGCCTAATGTTGGAGCACATCTGATCATTTCTGGAAGCTGATTCCAGCAGCGGGCGGCGTAGTAGCTGAAGGCTGATTCACCCTGCTTTGACTGAACTCTTGGAATTTCTGTTAGGTTTGTATTCAGTGAGAAAATCTGTAATGTATTGAGGTCCTAGGCCATTTAGTTATTTATAGACAGAAAATTGTTCATATGTAGACATAGACACAAAGTAATAATACTACTTTAAACTCTATTCTGAATGTAACTGGGAGCCAGTGTAAAGACCTGAGGACAGGTGTGATGTGCTCTGATTTTCTGGTTCTGGTCAGAATCCTGGCAGCAGCGTTCTGGATCAGCTGTAACTGTCTGACTGTCTTTTTGGGAAGGCCAGTGAGGAGTCCATTACAGTAATCCTCTCTGCTGCTGATAAAAGCATGAACAAGTCCTTACTGGAAACAAAGCATCTAATTCTTGCAATGTTTTTGAGATGATAGTATGCTGATTCACTAACTGCTTTGACATGACTATTATAATAATACAAAATTATTGTTATTGTTATCATTAATTATTATCAATTATTTTATTGTTATTATTATTGGGGGCTGCACGGTGGTGTCCAGGGTAGCACGTTCGCCTCACAACTAGAAGGTCGCTGGTTCGAGACTCAGCTGGGTTTCTGTGTGGAGTTTGCTTGTACGTACGGGATTCCTCTGGGTGCTCCGGTTGCCCCCACAAGTCCAAAGACATGCGGTACAGGTGAATTGTGGAAAACTTAAATGTCCGTAGTGTATGTGTGTGAATGAGTGTGTAAGAATGTTTCCCAGCAATGGGTTGCAGCTGGAATGGCATCCGCTGCGTAAAACATATGCTGGATAAGGTGGCGGTTTATTCTGCTGTGGCAACCCCAGATTAATAAAGGGACTAAGCCGAAAAAGAAATGCTTGAATGAATAATTATTATAATTATAAGTAATAGTAGTAGTAATGTTATTTGCACACCCTGGTTTTGTACTTCTGTAATTGTGACATTTTAAAAGTGAGGTTCTTAACTCTGACACTTGACTGAAAGGCCAATCCAGACAAACCCGTGTGCTTTGATTAAAGTCTCTTAACCTGAATGATCTCCTGCACAATAGATAATGTCATATAAGCACTGAGGGACGTCAGGGTTATGCTGTGTAGATCATGAAGCGCACTAACATGTTTGAACCACTGAAAGAGACTCTTATAATTCCGCTGCTGGATCTGATTTCTCATGTCTCGAACTGGTTATTTTCACTCGGGACTGACGGCTTAAGAGACTTATTGTAGAAATACACCTCAGGCTGCTGTATGTGTGAACACATACACTGAGCAAATAGGATCTGCTTTCTCTATTCATGGCAGCACTTTGATAATGGAGCGACAGGTTTGTCACATGACGTCATGGTGTCGTGATGAAATTAATATGATCTTTGCTCTAAAGCAGCTTTTATTTCTGCATATTGTGACTGTAAGGCATAGACAAATATTCCTTGTGTTTATATAAATACTCACAGGGGTGTAAAACTGTGTGTGGTGGAGTTCTAGCAAAGGTAAAAGTATTTAGCTGTAAGCTTTTTTTATTAAT